AACTACCTCCCATCTATCCCTACATACCCTCTTCTCCCATCACTACCCTACTCCCTTCCTTACATCCCTCTCCCTCTCACCATCCTTCTCCCTTCCTCTCCTCCCTCTCCCTCTCCTTCCCCCTCTCTCTCTTCCCATCCCTCCCTATCCTTATACAAAATCCTTATACTTCTTCGTCTTCTTCCATCTGACACTTCTCGTACATCTGGCAGTGATGTTGACACGATGGTTGAGACACCTGGGGATTCTGTTGCAGTTGCAAGTTCCGTTGTGGTTGTTGTTGTTGTTGGAGGCTCAGCTGTCATTGTTGCAGGCGAGGGCTCTGCTGCATTTGTATTATGAGGCTCCGTTATTCTAATTGTTGTAGGAAGCTCAGTTGTTGTTGTAGGTGGAGAAACTGTTGTAGTTGTATTTGGAGGCTCAGTTGTGGTTGTAGTAATAGGAGGAACTGATGTAGTTGTAAAATGGAAGCTCTTTTGCTGTAGTTGCAGTTGGAGGCTTATTTGTTGTTGTTGTAGTTAGAGACTCAGTTGTGGTTATAGTTGTTGTTGTAGTTGGAGGTTTAGTTGTTGTTGAAGTTATAGTAGGAAGCTCAATTCTTGTAGTCATAGCTGAAGGTTCAGTTGCTGTTGTCATAATTGGAGGCTCTCTTGTTGTAGTTGGAGGCTCTGCTGTTGCAGTTGGAGCCTCAGTTGTTACAGTTGGAGCTCAGGTGTAAATAAGTAGTTGTAGGCAGTTATCATTGTTGTATTTGGAGGCACATTTGTAGTTGTAGTAAGAAGCTCTGTTGTGGTTATTGTAGTTGGAGGTTCTCTTGTAGTTGTTGTAGTTGGAGGAACTGTTGTTATAGTTGTAGTCGGGGGCTCTGGTGTAATTATATAAGTGGAAGATCTATTGTTGTGTAGTTGTAGTTGGAAGCTCTATTGTGGTTGTTGTAGTGGAGGCACTGTTGTTGTAGCTGTACTTATTATGATTATTACATGATCCTCATTATATCATCATCATTATTATCATCGTTATGACTACTATAATACATCATTGTAATCATATATGGCTGCTTTTTACTTAGTATGTCACACAAAACTATAATAAACATTATTATTCATTTAACCAAATATATAATTTTGCATAATATCATCATTATAATATATAATACTATAAATATTATTCATAATATAATCATATATATTATATAAAATAATATAGTATATTATATATATTACACAATATATATAATATAATTAATATATTATAAATACACAATTAATACATATATAATAATATCATAATATAATAATTATATACTTATATGATAAATAGATATATTACATATAATTATCAATATAATATATAAATATACACTAATATACAATAATATACATATATATATATAATATATATATATATATAAATAATATTACTAATATATATATGTATAATAATATTAAATACTAAATAATAAAATATAATATAAATATTACATAGATATATAATATACGATAATATACGATATAATATATGCACTATATGTCATATTATATATGCATGTATAGATAAATATATACTACTATTACATATCATAATCCATATAATATAAATAATATATGTATATATATATTATAACTTACTGTCATAATTATGTATACTGCTATATGTCATAATGTATATGATAAATATGTTATTATGTAGTATGACTATCTGTGATGATGTGTGTGTGAAGAAGATCTTGTGGTGAGTGTGTGCTTCGATGTGTGACTGCTGTGTGAAATGCTTTCTATTTCTCACGTCTAATGGCGAACTTTTCTGTAGCCACAGGCAATGTTCAATGCTTCTGAAATAGTCTAGTCTACCATAGACTGTTGTACGTTGGCAGGCTCTAAGTAGGTTGTATGTTGGAGGACTCATGATGCGTTGAGAGTTGGAGGCTCTAGGTTGTGAGTTCGGAAGACCTCACTGATGTTGTGCGTTGGAGGCTCTAGTGGTTGTATGGTTGGAGCTCCTGTGGTTTGTAGGTTGAGAAGCTCGTGTGCAGCTAAATGTGGTTTGGAGACTCAAATTGTTGATAGTGGAGAGCTCTAGTGGTTGTGATTGGCAGGCTCTTCAGTAATGTGGTATTGGTAGGCTCCTGTGGTGTTGGTTCCGCAGCTCTGTGGTTGTGGTGCTGGATGCAGCTCTGTGGAGATGGTTTGGAGAGCTCTGTGGTTTGTGGTGGAGGCTCTGTGGCTTGATGCGTTAGGGAAGAAGGCTCAGTTAGTCTGTTTAGTCCTGGAGGCTCTTTGTGTTGGTTTGGGCAGGCTCTAAGTGGGCGTTGATCGGACATGTAATGCTCTGTAGGTTGTAGCGTTAGGCAGGCTCACTGGGTATCGTGTGTATTGAGCGCCTGAGGTTCTAGCGTTAGAGAGCTAACTTGGTTGGCTGTTGGAGGCTCTGTGGTTGTGGTCCTGGAAGGCTTCTTGTGCCGTTGTATCAGGTCGGAGCTCTCGTGAATGTGGTTGCGCCAAGGCACATCTGTGGTATTGTAGGTTGGAGAGGTCCTGCTGGTTGTATTGGAAAGTTCAGTTAGATACGTTGACGAGGGTTCTCTGCTGAGTTCACATGTGCGCTTGGAGAGCTCATGTGGTCTGTAGGTGAGAGGCTCAGTTCGCTTCGTCAGTTGGAAGATTCAGTTGTACGATTGGAAGGCTACTGTCGTTGAGTTGGAGACGCCTGTGGTTGTAGAGTGAGAAGGCCTCAAGTTGTAATAGCTAGTCTGGAGGGCCTGTTGGTCTGGCGGCTTTGGAGCTCGTGGTTTGATAAGGTTATCAGAGGCTCTGTGGTTGTGGATATGGAGGTTACTGTGTTGTGAAAGTTGGAGGCTTACATGATGGTGTAGTTGGAGCGTGTGTGGAGGGCTCTGTGGTTGTGGTTCGGAGGCTCTAAGTATGTGGTTGAATGACTTAGTTGGAGGGCTACTGTATGTTGTAGTTGAAGATTCATTGTAGAATTGGAGTCTCTGCTAGGTTAGTGGTTCGGAGGCTGCTTGGTTGTGCTGTTGGAGATTCTAGTAGAGTTAAGCTAAGCTTGAGAGGCTCTGCGGTTGATAGAAGAATAAACGCATAATGTGGAGAGGCTTCCTGTAGGTTGATATTGGAAGTTTCCAGTAACAATAAATTTCAAATTGTAGTTGTGTAAGGCTCTAGTGGTTTGATAGTTGAGGTATCTGTTGAGTTCTTGTAAGTTAATGGAGGCTCTGTGGATTTGCGTTGGAGGCATCTAGTGGTTGTGGTTGGAAGGCTCTGTAGGTTTAGGATTGGAGGTACTTGTGAGTTATTGTGGTTGGAGCTCTGTGAGTTGTGCGTTGGAGGCTCTTTGTTGTGTTGCGAGCTCTGTGGTTGTGAGTGGAGCTCTTTGAGGATAATCAGTTATGTTGGGTTAGGTTGGAGGCTCTGGGGTTAAGTGCGTTGGAGGACTCTGATGTTGTGGTTGGAGGCTCTGTGCGTTGTTGAGTTTGTGGAGTTCCTCTGTGGTTGTGAGTTGGAGGCTGCTTTGTGGTTGTGGTTTGGAGTGGCCTCTGTAGGTTTGTAATGGTTGGAGGCTCTACAGTTGGTTTGTGGTTGGAGCTTCTGTGGTTGTGCGTATGGAGGCTCTGTGGTTGTCGGTTGGAGGCTTCTGTGGTTGTTGGTGTAAGGCTCAGTTGTTGTAGTTTGGAAGGGCTCTTGTGTTGTGGTTGGAGGTTCTGTTTGTTGTTTGGAAGGTCTCTAGTGGTGTGGATACAAGAAGCTCTGGTGGTTAGTGGATTGGATGTCTTTTTGCAGAGCTTCTAGTGGTGTGGTGGAGGCTCTTGTGTTAGGAAGCTCTGTGGTTGTGGGTTGGAGGCTCTTGGTTGTAAGATTGAAGGCTCTTGGGTTGTGGTTGCGAGGCATCTATGTTGTAGTTGGAAAGTTCAGTTGTCTTGTAGTTAGACGCTCTTGTGGTTGTGGCTTGGAAGGCTTAGTGAGTTGTGCGTTGAGGAACTCTGGGTGTTGTAGATTGGCAGGCTCTATGGTTTGTGGTTGGAGGCTCTGTGGTTTTGGTTGGAGGTCTCTAGTATAGAGGATTGTAAGTTGGAAGGCTCTGAGTTGTAGTTGGAGGCTCTGTGGTTGTGGTTGGAGGCTCAATGTGGTGTGCATGACGAGGCTCTTGTGGTTGTCGGTTGGAGGCTTTGTGGTTGTGGTCTGGAGCTGTGGTTGTGTAGTTGGAGGCTCTGTGGTTGTAAGTTATGAGGCTCTGTGGTTGTGCGGTGGGAGGCTCTGAGTGGTTGTGGGTTGGAGAGCTCTGGTGAGTTGTAGTTTTGGAGGCTCTGTGGATTGTTTAGGATTAAGTTCAGTTGTAGTTGGAGGACTCTAGCTGAGTTGTAGTTTGAGAAGCGCTCTGATGAGTTGTCAAGGATTTTGGAGGCTCTTGTTAGGTTGTGGTTGGATGGCCTGCTGAGGTTGTAGTGGAGGCCTGTGGTTTGGTTGAAAGGACTCTGTGGTTAGTTAGTTGGAGGCTCTGTAGGTTGTGGTTAGAGGCTCGTAGTGGGTGTTTTAGTGGCAGGCTCTGTGGTTGTAGTTGGAGGCTTTCTGTGGTTGTGTTGCGAGCTCTGTGGTTGTGTTGGAGGACCTCTAAGTTGACGTTGTGGGTTATGGAGGTATCTGTTGTTGTGGTTGGAGGCATCTGTTGGTATGTTAGGTTGGAGGACTCTTTTATGTAGTTAGGAAGTTCAGTTGTAGTTAGGAAGGCTCTAGTGTTCGTGGTTGGAGGCTCTGTGGTGTCGGTTGGAGGCTCTGTGGTATGTGGTTGAGAGGCTCGGGTGGTTGTGGTTTTAGAGGTTCTGTGGTTGAGGGGTTGAGACATCTGTGGTTGGAGCTACGTGTGGTTGTAGTTGGGAGGTTCTAGTTGGATTTGTGGTTTGAGGCTCTTTAGTGGTTTGTGGTTGCGAGGGCTCTGTGGTTGTGAAGTTGGAGGCTACTGTAAGTTTTAGTTGGAGGCGGTCTGTTCGG